TGGCCCTCCCCCCCGAAATGTAAATATGCTTCAGGGCTGTAGAAGTGTTGATGAATTTGAAAGATTGAACAAGATTGATGAAGGAACTTACGGTGTTGTATATAGAGCCAAAGACAAAAAGTCAGGGGAAATAGTTGCGTTGAAGAAAGTAAAAATGGAAAAGGAGCGAGAAGGTTTTCCAATGACTTCTTTGAGAGAAATAAACATTCTCCTTTCTTTTCATCACCCTTCAATTGTTGATGTAAAAGAAGTGGTGGTGGGCAGTAGCCTTGATAGCATTTTTATGGTAATGGAATACATGGAGCATGATCTAAAAGCACTAATGGAGACAATGAAGCAGCCATTTAGTCAAAGTGAAGTCAAATGTCTGATGCTACAGTTATTGGAGGGTGTTAAATATCTTCATGATAATTGGGTGCTTCATAGGGACTTAAAAACATCAAATTTACTCTTGAATAATCAGGGAGAGTTGAAGATCTGTGATTTTGGATTAGCTCGACAGTATGGGAGCCCTTTGAAAACATATACGCATTTGGTTGTTACTCTTTGGTACAGGTATGTTTTATCCATGTCTATTTCTAATGTCCACTCTCTTATATTATCTTTTATACTATTGGAGGCATTAATTTGCCCGATGATTTTGTTGAAGATGCATGCCACGAGTCTAGATGAAATCTATGTTTTTTTAAAATTTCTTTTTTTCATGCATGTTGTCAGGGCACCTGAGCTTCTTTTGGGAACAAGACAGTATTCGACAGCCATTGATATGTGGTCATTGGGTTGTATTATGGCTGAATTATTATCAAAGCAACCACTGTTTAATGGAAAAACAGAAGTTGATCAACTTGACAAGGTAAACTAATTAATTACATTAGAGTGTGCAGATTCTAGTTGATTGGCATTTATTAATTGTTATGTTCAATGTTATTGTGTGCATGCTCATGCCCTTACCTTGAACATTGCAGATATTCCGAATGCTAGGCACACCAAATGAAACAATTTGGCCTGGATTTTCCAATCTTCCAGGAGTTCGGGTCAACTTTGTTAAGCACCAGTAAGTATTGTTGATGTCACTGAATCCGAGTATAACAATCGCATTTTTTCTTATTTTTTCCCACTGTTTTCCCAGGCTTCCAGCTTTGGGTGATTCTGGTCTGGCTATCTGGCCTCATTTGGTGACCTTCCAGTTAACTTTCATAGCACGTTTTAACTGCTGACATGTTTCTTTCAGGTACAACTTACTGCGTAAGAAATTTCCTGCAACATCATTCACGGGTTCGCCAGTTCTTTCTGATTCAGGATTTGATTTGTTGAACAAACTACTAACTTATGATCCTGAGAAGGTAAATATATGATCAATTCCTTTTGATTTCCTCATTCACTTTCATGATTGCCTACTGATATTTGTTTTCTTACTGCAGAGAATTACAGCTGAGGCCGCTCTTAATCACGAATGGTTCTCAGAAGTTCCTCTTCCAAAGTCTAAAGCATTCATGCCTACTTTTCCTGCTCAGCATGCTCAGGACAGGTATGACAGCTGTTAGACTTATGAGTTTGTGGTTTAACTTTTATTGAAACTTAATATTAACAATAGCATGATACCTATGTAGGCGTTTCCGGAGAGTAATGAAGAGTCCAGACCCCTTAGAAGAGCAGCGCAGAAAGGAGTTGCAGCAAGGAGAATTGGGAACATCTGGCTTGTTTGGCTGAGAGGGGATCTGGTAATTTGACCGAGGTTGCCCTGAAGTTATTTTTTTAATAACTCTGACTATTGGACCTGATTGAGGTGAGGGAAGAAGGCTGTGAATCTTGTTTGACAGATTACTAGTGCTCTTTTAGCACGACATTCATGGATATTTGGTTCAAGATATGTATTTTTTTTGCTTCTTTGAAGAAGATATATTGCAGCTTGACGTCTATTCTTCTCCTCTGGTCATCATATAGAAAATGCTTCAGTGAGACACGGCTTGCATTGCGAGGTGTGGAACATTGTTGTTTTCTTGCTAAAGTCAGTTTCAGCAGAAACTAATTGTGTAACATATTTTTATTGAAAATTAGGCTATTGGCCATAAATTTCGTTTATAATATTAGATCACCTTGGATTTACTGCCTACCTGGTTCAAATATATCTCCTTTTAATATTTGAATTGTGTTTGCAAGAGATGGTTGGTGGGAAGGGGAGGGCGGTCTTTGCTTCTCGTTGGCGAAGAATATGACAGTAACGGTAGTTTTTCAAAGGTAATTAATTAATTGCAAAATTCTTCAGGATCAGGAGCATGTTTTGAAGCTTTTTATATCAGTATCTTGGTTGTGTGCATGTTTTTTGAAAATTCAACTTGAAGTGTTCGTTGTATTTATTACAGTGCTTACCTAATAGTTTGGCCTACCAAATATGCTTTTATTTATAAGCCTGATTTATCTTGTTCCTTTAACCCCATTATTTCAAGTTCTCCAAAATTCTAGATGGAAGTTAATTCACCTTAGAGGTTTATTTTCTTACAAAAGTTTTTTATTTGGGTTCTATAATTAGGACTGTGGATAGGTTTTTTTACAAGACTTAATATTATGGGCTTCTTCCTTAAAAATGTAATCAGTGTTTGGTTGTTGGTGATTTAAGTGACTACTTCTTTGGGTATAATTTAGTTCCAATCACTGCTGGTGCTGATGGATGCAAAGTTCCATATTAAAAGAAGACATCGCGAATTATGTATTATCTGGGAGCACCAAGCTTCCCCTCATGTTTCTGTCTCCATAATATTTACCTAAAGTTAGCAGTCCTTATTACTTGAATTTCTAAACTCATTATTTTCTTTTATTCAAGAAATAGATTTCCTTCTATTTGATCTATATGCGCGTTGGTGTTGCATGCTGCCACTTGATGTAATTATTATTTCTTTTTTGGTGACATGGGTAGAACGAGCTGCAAATTCTTTTTTTGGCTATTGAAAGAAAGAATAAGTATGCATTAGCTTGTTCAGCAGTTCCATCACTCTTCAATGGAATGTATAAAATGGATCGACTTTTATCACTTATTATTCTCTTTTAATTGGTTTGAAAGGTTCAATCTCTTGTGATTCCCCGTGATTTTTCTGCAAATGTCACTGCAGTATCAAAGCTAGCAGGTTGAGGAGCTTACCTTCATTGCTCTGGAAGTTATGAAGTTATTAACTTAGTTGTTGATTCACCCACTTGAGGTACTATATGACAACTTTGTTTTTGTTTGCATTTTTTCAAGTTCCTAAATCATTTACTCGACAGCTTTCTTCTTGGAAGTGCTGTTTGGAAACGCTCTATACACCGAAAAGTGTATAAGTGTACTATCGAGCTTGGCGGAGATTGAGTGAGAATCTTCTAACCCTTAGCTATTAGTGTCAACCATACTATGCATCTGATCTTCTTTTCCAAATGCATTTTGCGTTCATTCAACCTGATACTTATTTGATGTTTGGTTTTCTTTCAAGTGTGTTTACTGTTGGTTGCTAACTTACCAGTATTCACGTGTCGGTTTATGGTTACAACTTCAATGTTATTTTTAAAACGTATGGTGAAATCGTTCTATTGTCTGATGTCGTGGGTTGAAAACTGGTTTTAGACCTGGCACAGTGGTGTAAGAATGAAATAAACTGTGTAGTGATGGAATTTGAGTGGGGAAAGTGAATTGTTTGTTACGGTATATATTGAGTTTGATCTGATGCATTAGACTAATAGGTTGATACTGGTTGGTTTATAGGGAATTTGTTTGTTGTCATGCTAGGGAATATCATAGGGTCTTCTCGACCCGTTCATTTACATCGAATCTTGATTGTTGATGTCATGTTAGGCAGGGAACTTGTTTGGAACAAAATCACTCGGCTAATAAAGTCATGACCCTATGTACCATTGTATTATTTGTTGATTTATATCCGGGTCTGACAAGTTATTCATGGCACCTCGAGTCCATTGCCGAGGCGTTTTTTGGTCATGGTTGAATAATTGAATAATTGAATAATTTGTCGAGTTTCAGAATAGTTGTTTTTCTGAACATTAGATTACGGTATCTTATTCTATTTACGTCCTTTTACATCTATCTATCGATTCCGTAAGTTATTGTATTTGATAATGTTTATGATAATGTTTATGAATGACAGTATTTGGGTGCTCTCTTTTCTGAGAAGATGTTGAAGGTAGATGATAGACTGGGAGTATATTCATGCATTTTCAAAACGGGTCCATTTTATGTCAAGAAAAAAAGAAATTATATATTTATAATATTAGATTTATGATTGTTGAAATATAAAACAAAAAATCCAACAATTAAAAGCTTTCATTTCATTGCATGTCAAGTTTTGTCAACTTCCTTGTGTTCCCCACAGCTTCAACTCTCTTGTTTAGACCATTCATGGCATACATGGCCTTGACTCCCGCGTTAAGACTCGCCTGTGCCACACAACAAAGTAAAATGTTAGTTTATTTTGTTGTCTCGTGAGAATAGTGGAAATTCTTCATTCAAACCCTATGCTGAGTTCTCTTGCTATCGTGTTTTCTGTCGCACAATCCAAACGTCGTGCTGAGAGAGATAATAGGGATTTATCAGTTCGGGTGTAGGAATGCTCGCATTTGGATCGCCCATGTTCGCCCATGCAATTGTACCACCTTTAATCACCTTTTCTGGTTTTGCCCCAAAAAAGGATGGCTTCCATAGAACAAGATCAGCTAACTTTCCTACCTGTAGGATGGATAGGACAATCATTGATGCAAAAAAGCAACCAAAGGAGCAAACTAGTTTTAATCGATATGACCTTCAAAGTTTCTAGAGTATAAATTCATATTGACGGTAATGTCTAGCTCATCGTGTAAATGTCTAATGAACTTGAGAATCAAAATTACAGTACCTCTACCGAACCAATGCAGCTAAGTCGAAACTGCACTGGGAAACTCGGATGAGTTATGAATTGGGAACTAATTTCATTTATATTTTATGTACCAGCATGTCAAGATGTTCATCTATAGTATTGCTCGTGAAGGGTCGAGTCGGATTAGTTGACGTTGGCAATACATTTTTCACACTACACACTCAGAATGATATCTGGAGCATGACCACCTCCAGCTTCTTCACTGTCCAAACAATTCAAGGCCAAAACGTTACATGGGGCACGATTCACATATTGCCTTAGACACACAAATGCAAGCTACAACATATATGGTTGCCTAGTCCGGACCTAAAATTAGGTCGAAAGAGACCGATGGAATAGCTACCGTTGGGACCCTACCCAACCTATCTCGACCGATGCCCCCAAACTTCCAGAAGATCAGGCCAAAAGACATAGTCGATGATCGAGGCGTAGTCAATGGTCGGAATTGGGACTCTATATCACAGAAAAAGGGGAAAAGGGTGGAAGAGAGATGGATGGGGCAACTCTATATCATGGAAGAGGGGGAAAAAGAGACAAATGGAATAACTACCTTTGGGACCCTACCCAACCGATCTCGACCAACGCCCCAAACTTTCAGAAGATCAGGTCGAAAGGCGTAGTCGATGGTTGGAATTGTGCAGGACTCTATATCACGAGAAAGGGTGGAAGAGAGATAGATAAGACACTACCTTTCGGGCCCCTACCCGACCTATCTCGACCACATAATATGCCGACGATAAGAGTAAGACGAAACTCTTACCTATGGTATGTGTGTATAGTTCTTCCTTTAAAAGCTGCAATGGTATCTTCCACAAATCCAGATTCATTCAAGGTGTCAGTATGAATATGCCATTTCCCCCTCTGATAACTTGGTTACCACCAATAGCTACAAGGGTGGCAGACTTTTGCTCCTGAATTGATCTGTCTCCCTTATTGTTTATCTTGACTAAAACAGCTTTCCGCCCAACATTGATTGCAATCTCATCATCAACACAGATAATCTCGCCAGGCACTGTGCTACTTTCCAACGAAGGAACTGTAAAATAATTCTTTTTCTTTAAAGAAACTATAATAAACTGAGAAAAATGTAACAAAAGTGCAAGGAATGCTATCCAGAATTATATCCAAAAAAAACATTGTAGAACATTAGAAAGTTCACTAAGAGCATTTGAACCTTTCGGTGAAAATGGCAATCCATTTTCAGGGTACTCTACTCGTACCCCTAAACTACAAGCTAACTAGCTAGCGCGCAACAACTTTTCCACCATTCTTGCTGGTGGCTCAAACAATCTATTGACGTCATTCCTTGCAAATTAGAATCCTTTTTTCCGAGCGTTAAAAATATGAGGATAAGAATGGTGACTTTCCAGACGAGAAAAGCCACTCTAATTCTCAAGTCTGAGGTGGCAAAAACCCACACCTAGAGGTGTATCAAACAGCCTTTTTCTCTTCTTTACCCGAAGAATGAATTAATGAAAATCCTAAATATGAGTCCCCGATGGAATCAAGGAATACTATCACGATTGGTATAAGGCCTTTCGGAAAGTCCTAAAGCAAAGTCATGATAGCTTATACTCAAAGTGGACAATATCATACCATTGTTAAGAGTCGTATCACCATTGATACAAGGTCTTTTAGAAAGTCAAAGCAAAGCCATGATAGGAAAGTGGAATATCAATTGATAGTCGTGTTCATCTAATATGATATTGTAAGTCTCAAAAGCATAGTAAAAAATGACTTAAGACTCCAAAAAAAAAGGAGTCGAACCTCGATTAAGAGAAGGCGTACTTTGTTCATGAAGAAGTGTTGGATGAAAGCCTTACCACAGCTAATTTAGAGAATTTAGAGAAGGATCCTAAATTTATAATCAAGAAATAGTATCTCCATTCGACTTTTTAATAATTAAAAAAATTAAAATGTGTTGATATATCTTATTGAGTCCTTTCATGCGATCCAAAATGTTTTTTTTTTTTTTAATTTTAATAAATAAAAAAAGTGCTTCAAAAAATTGGATTCCTTTAAAAAAAAAATTAAAAGAAATACGTGATAGATGGGTTAACTAAAAACAATTTTAATGTGATAATTAAAAACTCTCAAATGATATATTAGAAACTAATATATATATATATATAATAAACCGATTTATGGCTTGAAATAAATTAAAATTTGACGGGTTTGTTTGGATGATGAGTTTTCTAAAATTAGTTCGAACAGAAAAACACACACACACAAAAAAAAAAAAAAAAAAAGTTAATTTAAAAAATTATTTGTTATTTTAATTTTATTGGGTTCTACAATTATTTTTTCGATTTTCCTTCTTTTCTTAATAGAATTGAAACAAAATCACCAATATCCCCAGGTTGACAAAATAATCAATCCTGTAGTTTTATTCTACCAACTCTTGCATGTAATTTTTCAAAATAATATTGAAATTGAGTAGTAACTGTTAATTCAATTCGAAAATAAATAAATAAATACTTTTTTTAATAATAGGGCAAACCATCTAAATAATTTAGAGTTGGATTAACAAAAATGAGAAAATTAATTTTTCTTCAAAAAAAATTTAAAAAAATAAATTTAAGATGAAAAATCCCATCGACAACTGATCCAACTCAAATTAAATTATAATTATAAAGATAAAAGTGGAATTAGATTAGCCTTTCGAGTTGGGCTATATTAATTTTCTGAAACCAAATAGATTTAATTTGAATTTCGGATTCTCCGACAAAATTTCGGATGGACCCGAAATGACCCGATATGAATAAGATCTTAAAATATATTAAGATACTATTAATGGGTCTCCTAGGGTGATAATTTGGCCTAGTAATCTTCCATGTGCATTTTAGTCGTACACTATTTTTTTTCATAAATTTCTAAAAAATACCTCAATATTTATACCATTTTTAAATATATTAGTCAATGAATCTATCCTTAGAACTAAGATAAAACTTGTTTAGCTCGATCTACTTATACCCCAAGCAAGCTCTGGGCACTAAGTAGGTTTGTAGGTCTGCATGGGGATGTTTGATTGAAATCTTTTGGAACGCAGAAAATAGCATAAATGAAGTAGAAAACTGTTGAGTAAAAATCATAGTGAGGAAGAAATCTACCTGGAAGAAAAGAGCCCTGCAACGCTAGCTCCAGATTCCCATCTTCTGATTCAATAGGATTATGAACAGTAATTAACTTAGTCCCATCAGGAAAAGTTCCTTCAACCTGTAACGTGAACACAAATTAACTCAAATCAACTCAAATCTCAGAACATTCTTGCCGAGTATCGGCAATCAACACCTTGAATCAATCGAAAAACTTCAAATCAACACCTGAACGTAATCCAAAAGATGCGGAACACCAGGAAGAACTAATCTCCTGTTTTCAGGATCAAATCTCATCACACCAGAAATCAATACGAAAAACGAATCAAAAAGATTTTCAACAAACCTTCCTAACAGTGTTTTCCCCAAATCCATCAGATCCGCCACGCTCTTCTCGCCATTACGAACAAACTCCAAAATCTATTACAACGCGATGAATCCTTCAAAAAAGATGAGAATAAGCAAGAAATGAAGTTCGATTAGCAAACCTGTGCGGAAATTAGCGCTACAGCTTCAGCGTAATTCAATCTCACGCCACGAGCAAGACGCTTCTGCGCTAGAAATCCCGCATTATGTAGACCTAGCTTTTCCACTTCTCTCGGACTCAATTTCATGATGTTCTTCGTCACTACAACAAGATTGAACAAAATAAAATCCATAGCAGAAATCTGGAGAGGATCAACAAAAATATTGCGATTTCAAACCCTACATTGATCGATTAGCGCGGGAAAATTAAATCAACCTGCCGCTGCGTCAAGGATTGTGAACGATTTGTTTCTTTTATACTTAATTTCAAGTACGTATTTTCTTTTAAAAATGACACGTGTATTACACGTGGACTGCATTGTCAGCAAAGGAAAAGCACGTAATCATTCTTGTCATTAGTTTTTGTAATTAAATTATTAATCAAACTCTTAAAAGACATTAAAATATATTTAATATTTTGGATTGTTTTTAAACGGCGGTAGTACAGAGATCATGTGCACCGTACACGTGCCACAACTGCCCATTGCATGCGAACGGATGATGACGTGGAAATTAGATGCCTTTTGTTGGATTCGCGTTCCACACAATTTGACACGTCGACATTTATTTAATGTTATATATATTTTTTGAAGTTTATGAATGAAAGGAAAATAATTCATACTAGAGTTTTATAAGATTTCTACATTTTTTCTCTTTATTGAATATAAAAATAATATTTAGACTCGAATATATTATTAAATTTTAAATTTTCATTTCAATATTAGTTATGAAATAATATAAATTTTTAAAAAGATTTTATCTATTTTTTAATACAAATTATATCAAAAATAAAAATTACCCATTATTTTTTTTTTGAAATTAATATCTTTTTTTTAAAAAAAGCACAAACCTCGCACAAAAAACTCGCTTCCCGAAAATTTTTCATGGACAATTCTACCATTCCACCCCATCTGCACGAAAATAAATAAGAAATTTTGCAGAAATAAAGATTAACTGAGATTCCCTGTCCTTGCACGGTAAACATCCATAACTTTTACGAAAATTAAAGATGATGTGATCGGTAATCAATGTCTTATCTATGTCTCGAATAAGTTGAAATATAGTTTAATTATATATTTGTGTGTAAAGTGGTATACTGCAGCAAAAAATTTAAGCCAAAAACTTAATTATTACAGACATTTAGTTGTATGAAATAAGTGTGAAGACCAAAATATTAGGCAAGCAAAATAAGCTCTAACCATGTGTGTGCCTATATATATATATATGTGAGTGTATCATCAAACCTTCTTGCTCTCTATTTCAGCAAGTTTCTTTTGGAGAGTTCTCAATGTCTATGCGCCTGCAAGTACGAAAGAATCCCTTAACCCGACATGAATATTGACTCAAAGCACGTGTCTATGTAAGATTTCTAATCAATAATTTCTTTTGAACTTAACAACAAAGATATAAACACATGAAACAAAATAGCTTAAAATTTTATTTTACTATACATTTGAACATTTTCAAACATTTTCAAATTAATAATAAGTTATTATTAAAAGAAATTGGTTTTTCCTCAAAGAACAGTGTAAGAACTCGCAGATATTATCCTCTTTGAGCTTTTGCTTTTGGGCTTCCTATATAGGTTTTTAAAACACATCTGCTAGGGAGAGATTTTCACATCTTTATAAATAATGTTTCGTTATCCTCTGCAACTGACATGGGATCTCACCCCGAGAGACTATAGAAACAGTTACCATTCAGGGATATCTTTCAATTATTCTCACAGATGCAAATAGATAGGGAAGCAAGGGATGTTACTGCTTTTAATTGCATGGAGCCTTCAGTAAATCATAATGTCCGTAGCTGTGAAAAAGGACGCGAATAGGATTCTCTTTACTGTACTCCTGCCCATACTCAGCTATGAGCTTCAGATTTGCTGACTTCATGTCCCAAATGTAGACCGAGATTGGCATCCTTATAAAAACACAAAAACAAATGAGCATTATCTAATGATCTGATCAGCCAATTAAATCCGTCTGAATGATGGCTTATAAATAAGGAATACATCTCCGTTGGTATGAGGTGTTTTGGAAAAACCAAAAGCAAAGGCATGAGAGCTATTGCTCAAAGTGGACAATATCCTATTATTTGGAGAGTCGTAATTTCTAACAAAATACTCTCCATTGAGTCTAGGTTTGTTATCTCTACTAGGAATTATATAAGGCTGTACAAAGTTAGTTCGCGCAAGTGAAAGCAATCTGCGCCAACATTGGTATAGCGAGCTCAACAAAGAGAGCCTATAGTCTAAAACATGTCTTATAAACTGGAGTTTATATGACCAGTCTTAAGATAAGTAAACCTACCTACTAAACATTGGTTAAATTATTAACTTCAAACGACACACGACTAACACGTTGGCTAAGAATTCTAGTGATATTACATGGCTCTAGGGTATAGGAAGGTTCAGAAAATTTGGGTAATATACCCTCTACAATTTTCAAATCACCTTTAAGAACTATATGAAGCCCAACATCATAAAAAGTAGATGCTTGCTTCAAATAATCGAAATCAAATGCATGTAGTGACAAATTTCAGAGGCATTCATCAGCCACTCTAGAATCTAGCAACAAGAACTAAGAAACAAGAAATACCCACAAGCAAGCACGTTTTCAAGTTATAGGCACTACTCGATGATCAGGAATGAGATGTATCAATGAGAAAACTGCAAGAAGGAGAATGGTTGAACAGAAAGATTACCGTAGGACGTGTGAAGACATAAGTAACTCAGGCTCTCCTCCCCAAACGTGTGGTTGGCGCATGCATCTAACATACTGGCCAAAATCACCTTCAATAAACCTGCCAATCAGTGCACACTTGGATATTCTCTGTTGTCTATTACAATTTAATTTAAATGCTAGAATACAAAGAGGGTCAGCAGAGCAGCAACTCACTCAATGAGATTAGAGCATAGACGTATAAAGGCAAACAGTCTCCACGCTAATTAGAGAGTGGAAAACAAAATAAATAAACAAAGCCAAGATTTTCTAGATCGTTACTTGCTCATAGGTAAAACGTAGAACTGACAAAAAAAAATAACAGAATGATACCATAACAACATAAATAGGAACTAATTTGACTTTGTGAACATATAGCACTTGCTTATTGAACCCAATTCGATAAACTAATGATTAATGATTCAGCAACTATTGAATCATACTACATAACCATCATATCTTAACAGATAATATGCAACAGATATATGTTTTAGATATGAAATATATGAACTCTAACTAAAAATTAAATACTTCTGTCAATGAGAATCACCAAAATAATTGAAATTGTTACTAATGTGATGCATTAATAGTTTCACGTGTATTATTAATAACATATTCCAATACTTACCGACCTCAAGTTTAATTCAACTTTTTATTAAAACTTTATCAAGTGATTGTTGTTGTTTTTGTAGTTGTGCAAAATAGTTGTGATATACAAAAACCTCTATATGGTATAAGCTAAGAGTCCTCAACAAAATTTACCGCTCGGTGTCCAATCGCCTCTTCATCAACTCATTTGCAACCTATTCAAACAATTCAACAAATATTGGTCAGACTGATGGAGGTAACAAAATGGGAAGGCAGTAATAAAAAGTGCCAAGTAAAGTCAATCATCAACTTGGATCATTCTATTATGTATAATGCAATAATCTAAAGATGAAAAAAAAAAACCCTTAGAAATTAATTTAAGATCACACGTTCTCTCTAAGCTCGTCTGCAAGCTCTTTTTCGAGATCCTCGTTTGGAGCTGGCTTGCCCGATCTGAGACAAGCACCGTGAACCACTGATCGAAACAAACATCTTCCATCACCAGCTATGCCTGTTAGCCAACAAAAGACACCGTCTTACAAAGAGATCATTGCAGAGTCTTTCATATTTGTAACTTCTGACAAAACATAATAAATTCAGGAAAAATCCGAAAGAAAGAAAAAAAAAAAACAGAGAAATGAATTTAACAAATTACGAAGTTCAAATGGATGCCAAATTAAGCATTTAGCATCTACTATGAAAACTAAAGATCTCCTGTCACAGAAATTAAATATAAACATCAAATTTAGCGAGACAAGAATCCCCGTGGTAATCCAAAACAGGAAAATCCAATAAATAAAATCATAAACGCACCTCCGTGAATCATTAAAAACGTGAAGCAGTAGAAACAGAGAGTTCCGATAGTTTAGTATATTTCATATTGCAGGATCAAAAAACTAAACATAGATGCTTCAATCAATCATTTCCTAAACCTGATAGCTACAAGAAAGAAAATTCTAAAAGCTGCACTTAACTCAGTTAATGAGAAGAAGATTGAGGAAATCAACATACGGATTTTTTGAAACTGAGCAATGGAATTTTCCGGCGTTCGCATCGCCAAAATCTAGGTTTTTAAGTACAGAACACCATACAAAAACACGCTTGAACAAAATCGCTCCGATATGCAAAATTCGAATCTCAAGAAGGAAAAATAGAGGATCACCTGCAGAATGTGGTAATGATAAAAGAGATCGCTATCGCAAAGAATCGAATTCGATGCATTCTGGTGCGCATGTAGCTGTACGGGATGATTCCGATGATTCGGTTTTGAACGAACTTATCGTTATCGCCTTTTACATTTCCCTCCATTCTGATGGAAAGATTCCCGCTGTAATAGCGTTAAGATTTTTATGAAGCGGTCTATTTTACTGGACCTTCCGGTTTAATTATATTGGAGATTTTAACTATGGTTAATGGTTTTTAACTCTGGTTGATTCTTATGACATAAAGATGTTAGAGTTGCCCCATGATCGGTTTCTTTATCTTGTTCGTCACTCATGTGCTACCGCTTGCCCTTACCTGAAAATCATTTTTAAAGACAAGTGTAATTATTACAATAAACACTCACCAGTTGGAGTCAAATATATAAACTATTATATAGTTAACCAATTAAAATCGAGGGACCCTGATACTCACCAAAACCATTTTCGGCCATCAATCCTCGTAGGACATTGGTGGCTAATCACCCAACACTAAATGCGCATAACGCTTACTACAAAAATAATTATTAGCAATCACTTCAGGCAACCACTAGTGGCTCGTTACCTGATACCCCGAGCATATAATCCTTACCATACTTCTTGTATTCATTAACCACACACACATACACAATCCCAAAAAATATATGTTTCTTGTCCAATAAAGTATAGACGCA